AAATAGATCCAATCGGTGGTCTGGGTTGTCGTGACCTAACGAGTTGTGAGACTAGGGTTAAAGACCGAATCACCAACTACACGCGAATCAGCATCATTATTGTTTACCGTTTTCGCTACTACAAGCATCATCATGCAGTCTTCCTTATCAAAATTTTGAAACGCGGGTTTTGAAGGGGGGAGAATATACTTATACCGATGTGTATAAACCCATATCCCAATAATACGTTCCAAGCCAACCTGAGATGAAATATGAAACGCGAAGCCAAGGTTCTGAAGATCAGCAAGAACTTCGTCCATGGGATTACTTGTTTTTCCATATTTCATCTGTTTGCCATCTAGGAGATCCACAAACCAACCTCACTCGAGAGTTCGAAGCAGGGAAGGAGTGTTCGCAAACACCCTGATTGCGGACCTTTCGTTCCAAGCAAGTCGTTTCCTAGTGTAAGTGCTTGAGGGGCTCGCATTGAGGTTAGCGGTTTCCGTGCCGCAGAGAACATGCCGTGACCAGGCAAAGAGAAACAAGGCCGCCGAGAAAGCGGACAAAAAGCTGGCGAAAAAAGCCCGGTGCCTGGCAGCTCATGGGTTTTAAGGGCGTTGTATCGAATCAAAGTGCGCTGTTTCTGTGCGAAGGATTTGGGGTGTTTGGGTTTGTTGCTACCGTCGGCGGTGTAGTTGCACCATAACCTGGATTTGTAAGTCATCGGGTTGTCCACTGTGGACCTGGGTGGCGGCTGGGAATTTCGACAGTGTGTGATCGTGAGGAACCCACGCACTCTCCCCGGCGTTAGCTACCTAGAAGTAGCGTGGGCAATGTGGTTTGATTATGGCTTCGCCAGCACATATTCGACACCATTTATTAGGAATCAGAGTGCAGCGAAAGTCAAGTGCCTCTTGCGAGGCGCCAGTACCAGACTACAACATTAAGTGGGGTGGGGAGGTGCCGATGGGACGGCGCTTGTATAAGTTTCTCTTTCACACATATATATTGCAAACAGAGACGAGAGAGAGAGAGAGAGAGAGATAGAGAGAGAGAGACCGTTACCCTGGCGAAAGAAAGAGAGAGGGAGAGAGAGAGAGAGAGAGAGAGAGAGCGTTCCTTCAATGCCCCATAACACGTGGGGGGCCACAAGGCCAGGGGACCTAAACAGTCCCCTACACCCAATGAAAGAAAGAGAGAGAGCGCGAGCGAGTGAGAGAGCGAGGGAAGGGGTGTTGAACACGATCGAAAGTGACTGCTGCAGGCTGCAAGAGGGCACGCAGCCGATAAGACAGAGGCTGGTTCGGAACCGGATAGCCATGTTTGTGCGACGCTGCTGGCCTAGAAGCTAGTTTGGGAGGCCTGGGAGGCCAACCCGTTATTAGGATCGAGTTTACGATGGAGATGGTCTTTGTTTTAATGTGGCAGAGACCCGGATGCAAGGGAGTCTAGAACCGCACACATTTGCCCATGAACCCGCTCTTTGTTTGGAAGCCGAAAGGCCGCTCACCAAAAACGATACCTCGAGAATACACGACAGTAACCGAGTACTAGGAGGGTATTGAAAGCCAAGGAATAATTAACCGGCTCATGAAAACCTTGACTCCAGTACTAAGCCATCACTGAAACTTAACGAGCATCCAGTCGGCTCCGTTTCATGGGTTTCTGCTGACGCATTCGGCAGGTGCCTGAGAAAGGAGAGGCAAAGACTCAGGATAAGACGCATCGTGAAGACGAGGGAAAGCGAGAGGCCGAGGAAAGTAAGGAGACCGAGGCACAGGTGCCTCGCGAGGAGGAGTCCAAGGAGGTGGGGAAAACGGAGGCGAAGGCAAGGCCGCGCTTTGATCCTTTTGTGCCACTCCGCTTGACCCCTTTTGCTTTGGAGGGGCCTTCGGACCAGCAGTGGGCCCAGACTTCGCCAGACATCGTCTGCAGCAGAGTGATGTAGTAACGTGGCATGGCTGTAGTGACTGCTGACTGCCGTGTCAATACCATGTCGTTCAAGGAGAAAGGTGTCGGTGAAGGTGGCAGCAGAGGGTGCCGACGGTCTCAACGAGATTCACTTCAACATGCCAAGCTGGCAAGATCTTCGAAGTAGCTGCTGTGGTGCTGCACATCACGTTCAACTTGCAATCGCCGCCAGGTGTTTGTCTACGCCTCTGGCGAAGATGATGCAGGCCTGCGTGAGGGAGCGACATGTCGATGGGTCGCTGCCAAATGGCTGGTCTGTTCTTTGGGGTTTGTAGCGAGCCCCGTGCTCCTGTCGTGGACAGTGGACAGAGCTTCCAAGTGCTGCACGCCCCCCTGACCAAGCTGTAACCGATTTTTGGGGAGTAACGCATCTTCGGCCCTGGGCACCTTGGGCTTGCCATGATGTCAAACCTCGAGGGTTTCAGGAACCAGCATGACATATCCACGTCATGTCAGGCCTGGTGTGATCACAGCCGAGTTCCGATGGAAGATGCGGCCTTCCTACTTGGCACAGTGGTCTTGAAGACCGAGGAGATTGCAGCAGCGGCTGCCATCTCATGCATCTTGTGCGGAGCCAGCGGGCAGGACACCCTACACAGCCTCGGTTGCCGGGGCGAGGAGGTGGTCGTGAGGGCTGCGGGCACCTTAGCGTCCCTGGAAGACTGCCACGTTACTTTGATTTTCCGTGGCACATACGGCAGGTGCCTCGTGCAGATCAAGAGGCCAAGAGATATGCCATGCTTCCGTCCTGGATCGCAAGAGTGTGTTGCTGCGTTGCTGCCACTGCCACAAGTTTCGTGTTTGCGTATACAGAGTGGGAGGCTTTAATCGTTCGTGATGGCATCTCGATTGAAAGACCGGGAACCTTCACAGTGTCATCTGAAGAAGTGGTCGTCTTCGTTGTCGTCGCAGTAGCAGCAGTCGGAGGATGGGAGTAGGACAGTCCCTTTTGATGTCCTTGCATTCTGCTCAAGTTGGGGGGAGTTACGCTTGACTTCCTAAACCTCGTCAGCCAACAGAAATTCCTCCGCTCGCCGGCCCTTGATGTTTGTGATCTTGTTTCTGCTTGGCGCTGCAAGTGGAGCTGCAGAGCCCTGGACTATCAGAGTAGAGCCGGCGCTGGGCGATAGTGGGGCGATAAAGGCTCGATCGCATGTTTTCTTTCCGTCCCTCGACCTAGTGACGCTAGTGCTGGATTGTTTGGCTGGAGCGCAAAAAGTGCAGATCACACCCACAGCTACGCCCATGCTCCCCGTCACTATATTTCAGTTCAGGACCAGAACGAGAATAGCAGCATGAGCAGAAACAACAGCCCGAGTATTAACAAGGACAAGAGCAGTACACTTGACGAGTCCCGAGAAGGCGGATGTCGGAACAACCACCATTGTCACTGCTTCCTCTGTTTTCTATGCTAAATGCCGTCCGCTTGAAAGGTGCCTGGACAAGAGGAGGAATCCAAGAAGGAGGCGGAGAAGATCGAGGCGAAGGCCGCGCTTTGATCCTCTGGCGGTGACCCGTTTGCTTCGCAGGAGCCTAGCCTCAGCCCTGCAATTGTCAAGGGTCCCTAAACCTAAACACTACTACCCAGTCTACATCCGATCCTGGAAATGTTTAGTTTTTGGTTTCTTTGTGGTGGGAGCTGCTTCTTGACTCCAAACGCCCGATATACCCTTCGCGTCCGCTCGGAGGTTTCCTTGCATGTGCGCCCGGACCTGGAAGTTATTCAGGCCGATCAACTGGTTTCCCTTTTGCCCACATATCATCACAAGCACGACTGATGTCAGGCGGTGGCCTGTTTCATGGGTTACAAGTATGCTGCGTCGGGAACTCATGTTTTGGCGTCCTCTTCTGAGACTGTTCCCTTCCACATCCTTCCACCAAGACGGCGATACAGTCACCCGAGCGAGTTCTGAGCCGGAGCGGACATCAAAGGCTTTCCATTCCTAGACGGCCATGTTGAACCCTAGAAGCCCCACGTCACTGAAACCATCTATGAACCCGACAAACACTCCATATATCCCACACTCAACCTGTAAGCCCCAGGCTCTGTAAGCCCTGAGCCCTCGACCCCAAAAGCCTGTAGCCCTATATACAAGCCCTACAGGCCCGAAATTGTATTTTGCAATTACCTGTCGTCTTTGGCTCAAGAAAAATGTGTGATTGCATTCTGGCTGTTCTGCCTGTAAACATAGGTTATCTGTTGCACAATACCTCAACAGGATTTACTTTCACTGCGCTGGATATTACGCCATCAAGGACAATATCCCACTGTCACGCATTACGATGGCTTACTTCGCCGGCACAGGGTCGATAATATTCAACTCTGCGATTCAGTATGTCGGCGGCCCACGGCTTGGGGTTGGACCAGCACCGATGCTGGTGAGAATCGCATCACGATAGAAGATCCACGTGCCGATGCCCAACATGTGGAGGTGAATACCCATGTGGCCTGCACGTCTGCGCATATTGCGGGAAACCGATTTTCTATCCCGATGGAGTGATCTCTCGTGGAAGAGCATCGCAAAACGGTATTCTTTGGGGTGCCGGCGATTAAATGCATCTTGACGTCTCGATAGAGCGCCTGGTCGCCGGTGTGACAGGACAGCACTCAGATCTGACAGTCGAATATTTCGTCGCCAACCGAAAGGAGGCTGAGGCGATTGTCAAGCACGACGGATCGTCGCTATACCGCAACTGCCGAGAGAAGCCTCTTTGCTAGTACGCGCAGTGGTCGATTCACTGCAGAGAGGCGTACCGAGTGTGCCTCCGAAGGACGTGGTAGCATCCTCACTACATGCCAGATGCCTCACAGGCACCCGACGTCGATGGCGAATGGGTAAGTACCTGGAGCTCGCTCAGAAGAGTTGGACGCTCCGATGTCTAGGATGAGGGGCTCGATGGCGTGTGGTCATGAGACAACCACACTGGAGCATTTCCGAAAGTCAGTCGTCAACGAGGAAAGATTCCAGAAATTCCTCCGGGTTGACTCTGAGGTCTTGTCGATGCACCTTACGAAGATCACATCGATAAAAAGCTACGGAATACCCGCAAAAGGGGAAGCCGGCTACATCTCCGATCCTGACATGCTCGATCTGGAGGGGCAAACTCAAGAATTTGTCCAAAAGCCGTGGCGGGATCTTGATCCGTTGGGCTTCGCGCCTGCGAAATTCCCTGGCGATCCAGGATATTCGAGCAACGATGAAACCCACTCCGAAGGGGGCCCATATGCCGAGCAAGCCCGAATTCGCGCTGACCAGAATGAAGGCGCGAAGGCAAAGGCAAAGAGCGCCTTTCAGAAAGACGATGCCAAATTCAGGCATTTTGACGAGCATATGAGGCCACCGCAAAGGGATATCTTTGCGGCACGGAGCATCTTTGCGGCACTGAACAACGAGTTGCTGGAGTTCGATCAAGTCCCGCAAACGTCCAGTGCTCCCAGTGGTGAGAATCCTCAGATAAGGACGGTGACCAAAGGTTGACAGGGCAAGTATTGCTGTCCCAGACAACGACGACGATTGGGATGATGCCATGGGTCTTGATAGCCTTGCGGCTGAGGCCCGACGCGATATTAGTCGACCTCGATCAAGACACCGGCAGGACCTGCCTCCACCGTCTGAGGCTCCCCCGCCTGCGAGACGGCCTGCCGATTCAAGAGAGGCGAATAGGCCGATTGTCTCCGTATCCGGGCGATCCGAATACGCTAACGAGTTGGGGCTGCCTACGCTCTCCTCAAGACAACGGTGGTGAATGACGACGTCCTTGACAACCCCACCATCCAGCAACTGTATGAGATAGCTCATAACGATAATCAGATTGCCGGAGTAAAGCGTCACGGTTCTTACGAACCTCAATGCTGACCCTGATGATCCGTTGCATGTGGAAAACGCGGATGTAGAACCGATGGTTCCAACGGGCACTGCTCCGAGTCAGAAGAGCGTCGCGGTTACCAGGCGCGCATCACAACGCCCTCTTTCTCCCCAATCATCTGCTGCGTCCGAGAGAATCATGTACGCCGCAAGAACAGCATCCCAGCGACCGGCGAAATCCGCCAGATTTGGAGACTGGGCACCTGCGCTTGGCCGCCCTATGTCGATGATTGGGGGTGAACCTGCGCGTGGACGATCACCTGCACAAGCCCCCTTCTTTACGGGCCCAGGGATGGCACCATCCGAAGCCGATACTGTGGGACCGTATGAAGCTTGCAGGGTAGCAAACGTGCCGGTCGCATCTGCACCGTCTGTAGCATCGACACGCACCGCAGCTACGACTACAGATGCTGCTAGACTATTCAACGATTCCAGTTCGGTGCGAACCCTGCGAACCCCGATACCCAAAGCACCTGCCAAAAGGTCGAGCGTGCCTGGTCCCGATGAAGGCCAGCCTGCAAAAGGGGTAAGCCCAGAAACGATAAAGGAAAAGGAAAGGGCCATGGCAAGGCTGGTCGCGATGGTGGACCACCTGCCAAGGGCAAGGATAAGGGCAGAGGAAAAGGAAGGCTGAGTGCTGCACGAACTCGTAGTCCCCCTAGCGACCGACGCCAACGATAAGGGCGTTCGGCTAGCGTCGACCGAGTAACTTTCTGCGATGACGCATGATGTCCAGTCAGGTGGATCCGGTTGATCTTTGCGTGAGCCTCGTGACCCATCTGCGGTCGGTGTTCACCTCGGATCTGCTGGTGACGCTTTGACTCGATTCCATCGCATTCCTCAGCACTCCTCGTCCTCGCCGAAGCTGAGAAGACCCACAGGGGTACAATGGCTAGCTATGGTATTTTCCTCGTGTGTCAACCCGACGCTGCCCAGCCGCCGCTCTGAGCGCGTCGATCAAAAGCGCAAATCCGCAATCCGATCGAATACAAGGTGATCTGTCCGATGTGCTCCGATTGAAACACATTGACACAGATTTCCGTTTCACACGGCTGCAATGTACAGCGTGGAACATTGGTACGATCAAGCATCAAGAGCAAGCATGACGGTGTCTTAGCTTTAAGCTTGCTTGCTCCTGAGGGAGTATGGCTTGATGCACAATCCGAGTCATGTGACACTTTTAAACTCCGCTTCTCTCACACGTGAGCTCGCGTCGAGAGGCGTGTGATTTATCACTGACTTGCGAACATGTGCGCCTAACTCAGCTTTGCCTCGCCTTGCTTGCTTGGTGTACGATTGGAAGCACCAGGGCTTTGTGACCGAGAGTTAAGTGTATTCCTCTACTTTCACAGAAAGCAATACAGCCTGAACCTGAAGCCACCTCCTAAACCCCAACTGGCCTGAACCTGATGCTTTGTCGGTTGCTGACGTGACGCCCTCCGACCTCTGGTTGCAGTTGTCGCTAAACTGGGTACTTGTGTCCTCGTCGGTCATCCGTACGGAATGGAGCCAATCCGCGAGAGAAAGATTGTATGCTCGGATGAAGGCGGCTGATGTTGATGATTCCAGTCTTCGCTGAAGAGCAGACTCGCCCAGAGAAGAGATAAGCCGGAGGCCTGCATGATTGGTAACTGTACGATAGCCGTCTACAGTCGTGCTAAAGGTTCTCTATGCTGTTTATAGGTCTGAAGTCCCTCCCCAAAAAAACCTGGTCTGGTCTCAAGTGCATCTCAGCCCCACTTCCATTCTGTCAGGGTGTCCCTTCTTGGATATGGGTACTTCTCTAAATTTGGGACTTTCCTTGGGTCCCCAAAATAGTACGGTACCCCTAAAAAAAGGACCCTACGCGAGAGAACTACCCTTTTGAGGGTCCCCACGGTTCTGGAGCTCCCGTATCATTGACCGCTGCGGAGTCTGTGCTTTGTACATAGTCGGTTGGTGGCTGTGTCGAACCCAAAGGGTCGAAAGCACTGCTACAGGGCCTCTCCGTTTGAGAGCCAGTGCGTGCAATTCGCCCCAGCATACGTCGGGGCAGGCCCCTGAGG